TGGAGGAGAAGGGATTGCGGAGTGGCCATCCCCCTTGGGGGGTGATTTCTCGCTTTCTGTCCCTCTGTCTCTCTCTGTCTATCTGGCGAGCGCACGCGCCCTATAGTGAAAACCTCTCCAAAAATAAATAAATAAATAAAAATTAAAATTAAAATTAAAAAAAAAAAAAGAATAATTTCAGGGACTAGCAGGCGGTGTGATGGTTGGGGCACTGGACACTCCCACATGGCCAACCATAATTCAAGATCTGGACTTGGTGGCTTGCTTTCTTACTTTCTCTCTCTCTGTCTCTCTCTGGTTGAATTAAAATAAAATGAATGAATAAATAAAATTAAAATAGGTAATTCTTTTAAAAAAAGAGTAATTTCATTTTATTTACTATTATTATTATTTTTTTTTTAGAGATTTTTGCTATAGGGTGCGTGCACTCACCAGACAGACAGACAGAGAGACAGAAAGTGAGAAATCACCCCCCAGGGAGGATGGCCACGCCACAATCCCTTCTCCTCCATTCTCCTCTTTGGATCTTGGGCACGCACGCACACGCACCCGGCATGAGTTTTAAGCCACCAGGTCCGGGATGCGAACTGCGGTCGACTACGTGGGAGTCCAGTGACATAGCCATTATGCTAACTGTTGGTCCCAATTTACTATTATTATTTCTAATTTGACTGGAAAGAAACAGAAAGAGAAGGAGAAAGTTAGAAAGCAAGGTGCCAGATCTGGGACTCAGACTGTGGCTGGTCATGCGGGAGTCCAGTGCCTTAACCACCACACCACTTGCTGGTCCCAATATTTCTATATTATTTTATTAAAAATATTTTTTGGACCAGCAGATGGAGTAGAGGTTACATTGCTGGACTTCCACATAGCTGACCTTGGTTTGAGTCCCAGACCCAGTGGCTTGAAGCTCATGCCAGGCACATGTATATGCGTGCCCAAGATCCTGGGAGGAGAATGGAAGAGAAAGGATTGTGGTGTGGCCCCCAGGGGGTGATTGTCCACTTTCCCTTTCACTGAGTCTGTCTCTCTCGCTCCCTGTGAGTACACACACCCTAAGTCAAAAACCTCTAAAAAAAAGTTTTAAAAATTTATTTTTCTTTAATCATGATAGTGTATGTGTATGTGTGTGTGTGTGTATGTGTGAGTGTACATGTGCTCACATGAGAAATAGAGAGAGAGGGACCAGCAGTTAGCATAATGGCTATGTCACTGGACTCCCATGTAGTCGACCGCAGTTCGCGTCCCGGACCTGGTGGCTTAAACTCATGTCAGGCGCGTGTGCGTGCGTGCCCAAGATCCTAAGAGAATGGAGGAGGAGAAGGGATTGTGGCATGGCCATCCACCCTGGGGGGTGATTTCTCGCTTTCTATCTTTCTGTCTGTCTCTGTCTGTCTGGCAAGCGCACGCGCCCTATAGCAAAAACCTCTCCAAAAAAAAAAGAAAGAAAGAAAAGAAATAGAGAGAGAAGCATCCTCCACAGGGTCTGGTCATGCCTCAATTCCCTTTCTCCAGTCCCTCAGCCTTGTCAGATCTTGGGTACTCACGTGTACACCTGGCATGCCTCAGGCTTCCTGGGTCAGGAATTAGAACCACCATATAGGATTTAGTTTCTATTGAGGCACTGCTCAAAAGAAGCTGGATCCCACATAGTGCTATGCCATAGAGCCAGCGTAATTATTTAATTTTTTCTTAATTGCCAGAGGAAGTGTCCCTTTGTCAGAGAGAGAGAGAGAGACAGAGAAAGAGCGACAGAAAAAGAAAGCACTCCCAAACAGGTCATGGTCATATAGCCATTCTTTCTCTTCCATTTCTCCATCCTGTCAGGATTTTGGGCATGCATGCACAGTGTTTTTCTTTTCTTCTCTTTTCTTTTTGGAGAGGTTTTTGCTATAGGGCGCGTGTACTCGTGAGAGAGACAGACAGAAAGCAAGAAATCACCCCCCAGGGGGGATGGCCATGTCGCTATCCCTTCTCCTCTTGGGATCTTGGGCACGCACGCACACACACACACACACACACACGCCTGGTGTGAGTTTAAGCCACTGGGTCCGGACTCAAACCACAGTCAACTACATGGGAGTCCAGTGACAAAGTCATTTTGCCAACTGCTGGTCCCATCACACACAGTGTTTTTCAAGGTGTGGGAACTGGGACTCAAACTGAAGTCAGTCATGTGGGATCTGGCTCCCTTAACCACTAGGCCATGGGGCTGACCCAATTTTTAAATTTTTTTTTAAACTAAATACTTTTCAGGGTTGTCACAGTAAAATAAAAAATAAATAAAGTAGTTGGGGCCAGCAGGTGGCGTGGTGGTTAAGGGTGCTGGACTCCCACATGGCCAACCGCGGTTTGAGTCCCAGACCTGGCGGCTTGCTTTCTCACTTTCTTTCTCTCTCTCTGTCCCTCTCTGGTCAAATTAAAATAAATAAATAAATGGAGAAAGTTAAATAAAATAATTCTTTTTAAAAACGTAGTAATATGAAGTTCACGCCAACTCAAGCACGAATTGGTGAGTAAGATCTCCAAGGATTGTGGGTCTAGTCATATCTCTCCTCCTCCTCTTCTCTATGTGACCTCTTAACCTGTAAGCCTCAGTTCTCTCATCTGTAAAATGGGCCACACAAGAGTCCCTGCCTCACAGGGAAATTAGGAGACACAGAAGACAAATAGAGAGCAGCAAATATCCTGGTCCTAGGGTGGGTCCAATAAACATGAATACCTCCCCTCCCTCCCAGCCCAAGTCTGGGCCTATAAAAGTAGGGGATGTCTGGGACTCTAGCACCTAAGGTGGGACTTGAAGCAAACCTGGGGTCCTGGTCGAAGGTGAACTGTGTTCCTTGACCATGGTGCACATCCCAATCCACGATAAGGACCCTGTGATCAGAAAAGAGAGAGGCTTTGTACAAGAGGACCAGGGTGACTCTGGGAAAAGAGCCCAGACCAGGATGCCCCACCCCATGCCAGCCCCATCACACCCGCCCTCTGCAGCTGACCTCTGAGTGCTGTGCTTCTGCTGGGCGTAGCGGGCAGCTATAGCCACATGGTTGAACATGCAATACCCATCCATAAGACTGTGCTGGGCATGATGTCCAGGAGGCCTGGGCAGGATAGGAAAGGTCACACATTGGTGGTGAGAGTCTTCTGTCAAGACAAACTATCCTGCTCCCTAAGCCTGGGTCACCAACTCCTCAAAAACCAATGCATGCAAATCTGCCAGGAATTGAGTAACTAGGGCTCCTGAATCCTCATTGCCCTTCACCCATGATCTATTGCTTTCTCTCCAAAGCAGATTTGAAGATGTCTATTAAAGTTATCAGTGCATACATTCTCATACCCATTCATTCTGCTGCAGGGACTTAGCTTACAACCTATATAATAAAAAGGAAGAAATAACATGCTTATAAATGTACCACCATATTTTCTATTGCATGTTTTTGAAAGAGCAAATGACTGGGGAGAACCAAAATGCCGATTGGTGGGGGACTGGTTAACTTATAATGCTCTTACACAATGTCATTCTACCTGGCTTTAAGCTATATACTGTTAGAGAAAGTTTTCCAAGATATGTAAGTGAAAACTGCATGGTACAGGAGAGAGTGTGTCAAGTGCTACCACCATTTGTGGTTAAAAAAAAGATGGGGCTGGCAGGTGGCGTAGTGGTTATGGGTGCTGGAGTTCTGTATGGCTGACCGTGGTTTGAGTCCTGGACCTGGTGGCTTTCTCTCTCTCTCTCTCTTGCTCTTGCTCTGTCCCCCTCTGGTTGAATGAAAATAAATAAAGTTAAATAAAATAATTCTTTTTAAATCTGATTTATTCATTCCTTTATTAATTTTTTTAAAATTTTGACCAGAGAGAGACACAGAGAGAGAGAGAGAAAGTGAAGAAACAAGCAACCAGGTCTGGGACTCAAACTGTAGTTGGCCATGTGGGAGTGAGCGTTTAGCACCTTAATCACCACATCACCTTCTGGTCCCATATAAAATAATTATTTTTAGAAAAAAGGGAAGGGAGGAGAAAGTCTCTACGTTTTTGCATTTTATCAATTCTGGGATGCCAATGATAAAATACACTGTGATTTTTACATGCTAGCAACAAAGCAGAAAATGCTGTCAATTAAAGTCTAAGTTATCACTATTTCTAATAGGTATTTGGATTTCAAGACATTACATATATAAATAATGTATGTCTCAATAAAAATGAAATATGGTATTTACTCCTTAAGTAAGAATACTTGCAGGAGGGCAAATGAATTACTGGTCACAATAACTACCTCTCAAGAGAGAAAGCAGGTGTGTAGGTGATGAGGGCAGAAGTTTTTGTTTTTGTTTTTTCCATAGGGCGCGTGCACTCACTGGAGACAGAGATAGAGGGACAGTGAGAAATTATCACCCTGGATGATGGCTATATCACAGTCCCTTCTCATCTATTCTCCTTTCAGGATCTTGGACACGCACACACACATGATTGGCATGATTCCCAAGCCACCAGAGTCTGGGGCTTGAACCACATTCGATCATCTAGGAGTCCAGTGTCTTAACCACCACACCAACTGTTGGCCCCAGAGGGTGGCAGATTTTTTTAAAGAGTTATTTTATTTAACTTTATTTTTTAATTTAATTATTTTTCATTTGGCCAGAGAGGGACAGAGAAAGAGAGAGAGAGAGAGGGCGAGCCACCAGGTCCAGGACTGGAATCGTGGTTGGCCATGTGGGAGTCCAATGCCTTAAACTACTACGCCCCCTGCCAGCCCCAGGAGATTTTAAAAATTGTATTCCCTTTCATCTTTTTCACTCTTGAACCACAAAAAATATATTACCCATACCAATACATGTTACTTTAAGGAGAAGGACTTTTGAAAAAAATAAAAAAAAAGTCAAATGCTAGAGGTTCCTACCTGACAATGGCCATGCCATTCCGGATCTCAGCCCCCAAGACTGCATCCACCAGCCTGAGGACGGAGCCTGAGGCCAGGCAGGCACAGGTATATGAGTTCTAGAGAGACAGTTGGGAGCCAGGGAAGGGAAAAGGGAGAAAGCAGCCCTATTCACTTGCCTGCTTCCTTAGGGTAGGGTAGGCATGGGGATAGGTGACCCCAGGATTGCTGCCACTCCCTGCCCCCAGTTTCATCCATACCGGATGCAGATAAACTGAGTCATAGGTGTCTGCTAGGACGCGGAGTTCCTCCTCACTCATATACTGGGTTGTTTCCATCAGATCAATGAACTCTAGGCTGAGATCACAGACAGGGAATGAGATTCAGGACCTTGTCCCCTTACCAGCTGAGCCCTCCACACACTAGACCCCTAGTCACATCAGGCCTCCTCTCAATCTAGAGGGACAGCCAGGATAAAAGATACATTCCATTTCTTTTAGAGCCTGCCTCATTTCCAGTAATATTCTTCACCACCTGCTCTAGCCATACCAAGTCCTCCTTCCAGGTCTTTGGCCAGACTATTTTAGCAATCTGTTCCTTCTTCCCTCAGCCCTTCTCTTCATCTTACTCACTCTGTTTCTCCTGCTAAAACTCAGCTCTGATCCCCCCTCCACCAAGCTAGCTTTCCTTGAGCCACATTATACTGGGTTTCTTTCTCTGGTGACCTACTGTCCTCTGCAGAAACCCCTGATCACTGTGTATACATACGGTATATGTCTATGCAACCAGATTATAGTTAAAATAGCTAATCATGGACTAATGATATGTCAGGCTCCATTCTAAACAACTGATACACATTGAACCCTCTTGAGGAATTTATATTGACTAGCCCCCACATTACAGGCGATGGCACAGGCTCAGAGAAACTCAGCAACTTGCCCAAGGCCAGCCACACAGTCCATTACATTCCTTCCTAAAGCATTCAGCCTGCTGTGGTAGGTCCAGGGCAGCCTCCTCCCTAGCCCTACAAGGCTCCCAAGCCTTCACCTGTGAACCAACATCAGCTCCTCTTTTTCGGCGAACCGGGCCTGGGGAGACATGAGGAATAAAGGGCTAAGGAACAGGTTGTGCCTGGGTCCTGCCATCTCTCTGCCCTCTACCCCAAGTCAGCAGGGCAACTTACCGGAAAGGACACACAGCGATCCAGGAGGCCCTCCTGGATCAGTTGCTCCTTGATGGCATGGAACCGCTGAGGGCTTTCAGGAAAGCTAGGGAGATGGAAATTCAGTGACACTCATACAATATATACATGGGGACAATGGGAAGCACCACATCTACGCTTGCCACCTTTCCCCCTCCACCTTCTACAGCTGCTCACCCCACAACTGTGCCATCAGCCCTGGCTCCTGTGGACTCCTAAGTCTGAGAGCCTCTCCTACCAACAGCCACTGGAATTATCGTGACTTCCCACCTTGGCTGTCGAATCACGTCCTCCCAGAACTGTTTGTTTCTGCCCTCCTTCCCTCAATAGTCACTTCTGTACACAGCAACCAGACATTGGCTAAAACTCTAATTAGATTAAGTCTCTTTGCTACCTGAAACCCCTCTGTGGCTCCTAACCCATTCTGAGGAAAAGCCAAAGTCCTCCCCATACCCAGAGGGCCCTTTGTAAACCATCTATTCCTCTTCTCCTCTGATCCCATCTCCTACTGCTCTCACTCTCCCTCACTCTGCTTTACCTACACTTATCACTCCCTAGTTCTCAAGTGAACCAAGTACTCTTTGGTACTTGGCACTTTAGCTGTCCTCCCTGACCAGAACACTCTTCTCCCAGATGTCTCTATGGCCAATTCCCTCTCTTCCTTCACATACCTGCTCAAATGGCAGTGTGGTCTTCCCTGAACATCTGATTGAAACTATAGGGTTCTCCCACCCACTTACAGCTTCTACTACTCTCCCTCCCGCTTGTTGCTTCTCCACAGTACCTCTCTTTCTAACATGCTGTATCACTTACTGTCCATTTGTTTACTGTCTTACCCCTTCCTCCTGGAGGCAGAGTTTTTTACTGCTGCATCCCTAGTTCCTCAATAGATGGTAGGTATGTACTCCATAAGTGAAGTATTTTATCATTGTGAGTTTTTATTAGGTTGAGATATGGCAGCCAGACACTAAACACTTAAGAGTTTAATTAACGATGTTATAGGCTAGAAAAATATCTAAGATTGGGTGTGGGGGTAGGGTAGTGGTCAGGTAAAACCTGCTCTGAGAAAGTCTTCAGATATAAAGATTAGCTGGGAAAAGAGAAGGTAGAAATCAATCTCTAGAAAAGGGACTGGCCAAGGTAAAGAATCAAAGTGAGAGGGTGCCTGGCATGTTGGACAAATAGTAAAGTAACCGATGTGGGTGAAGTGAAGCGAAGCGAATAAGAGGGAGGACTGGCTGATGAGGTCACCAAGGTGAAATAGAGCCAGATCACATGAAACCTTAGAGGCCAGGATGAAGAATTTAGACTTTATCCTGAGGAGAACAGTCTGCCCTTGAAGTATTTTTTTTTAAAAAAAAAAGTCATCTTGGGGCCAGCAGTTGGTGTAATGGCCATGTCGCTGGGCTCTCATGTAGTTGACCGTAGTTTGAGTTCCAGACCCAGTGGCTTAAATTCACACTGAGCGTGTGTGCATGTGTGCCCAAGATCCCGAGAGGAGAATGGAGGAGAAGGGACTGCGGCATGGTCATCCTTCCCTGGGGGGGGGGTGATTCCTCGCTTTCTGTCTGTCTCTCTTTGCCTTTCTGGCGAGTGCACGCACCCTATAGCAAAAAACTCTTCCGCCCCCCCGAAACATCTCAAACTTTTATATGTTTCAGGCTCCTTTGTAGAAAACAGACAATAGGAGAAGCAATGAGGCATTGAGGAAGTCTCTGAAAGTCTAAATGATTGACGGTGGTGGTGGGAATGGGGGTGCAGAAGAGAGGTCAGCTAATGAATACTTTTCAAACACAGAGCCAAAACAATGTGCTGACTTTTCTAAAAAGTAGACGGAATGGGAGGTATAATCTTTTTGTTTCAACATAAATATATTAAACATTCTTTTTGGAGAGTTTTTTTTAACTATAGGGCGCGTGTGCTCGCCAGACAGAGAGAGACAGAGAGACAGAAAGCGAGAAATCACCCCCCAGAGGGGATGACCAAGCCACAATCCCTTCTCCTCCATTCTCTCGGGATCCTGGGCACGCACGCACACGCGCCCAGCGTGAGTTTAAGCAACCGGGTCCGGGACTCGAACCGCGGTCAACTACGTGGGAGTTCAGCGACATAGCCATTACGCTAACTGCTGGTCCCAATATATTAAACATTCTTGAATCCCTGATCTCAATTGTCTTCATTAACCACCTCATGCTACTATTAGCTGTTTGATGATATACCCTACTGCTCACCCATCAGCTCCCTGAGAAGGGACCCTGTCTGTCCATTTGGCATACCTGTATCACTAACTCTAGTTATACAGTCACCGCTTAATAAGTATTTGTTGGCTAAAAGAGAAGAACTCTTTCAAACACTCTCCAACCTGGTGTAAGAAAGGATTTGTTCTTGCTGACAGGCTCTAAGTGTATTTAGGGAAAGCCTGGAGGACCCAACCTCACCTGTCATCCCAGAGACAATGGAATTCATTTAGCTGCTCGTCCAACACCAAGCCAGTGCCAGCTAGAGCCTTGGCCTCAAGGTTCAGATCCTGCAGGGGAAAAAGAGAGACACAGATCCACTTAGGGCCTGAGTCAGAGAGAACATCCCATACCGTCCTGGGTGGGGAACCCTGGGGTTTTGATTATAACAGGTTACGTTGCCATCAGGTCCCTCTCACCAGCCCTTGCAGCCCCATGACTAGGTCTTCTTCAGAAGCTGCTTGGCTAAGCTTCTTCATTTTGCCTTTCTTCTTTAATTCCGCTAGACTGTGAGCGGTGCGGGGTCCAGTGCCCTTCTTAACACTTCGTTTCTGCCAATCAGAGAAAAAGGCCAGAGTCCAGAGCACAACCAGTTGCTGTCCCCTCCCCCTCATCATGGCAGGTTTGGGGCCTCACCGAAGTGACGCTGGAGTCATGAGGGGGTAACTGGGGACTGTGCCTATTCCTTCTCTGCCTGGTTGTGGTGGCATCCTGGCCGGTGGAGGTCATGGTTGGGGAGACCTCGCCCCTGACGCGGTTCTGAGGTGGTGGTGGAGCCGTTCGTGAGGGGGGCTGGAGTGCCCTAAGAACCCCACATTCCTGCCCCTTTCCAGGCCCCACCCCTTATACTAGACTCCATCCCTCACACTAGCCCATTGCTTTCTAAACTCCGCCCTCTCCCTCCACGGAGATGTCCGTTCCTTCTGGTCCCACCCGTTCCGCTAGACTCCACCCCTTTTACACGATTCTTTCTCTTCTCTAGTTCTTTCCAAGGGCAATGAACTCCCAGGCTCAGTCAGTTCTAAGACCTGCTCTTTCCAGTCAATCACCGCCCCTCCAATCGACCAAGCCCAATTCCCAGACCCTTTCATTCCTCTAAGCCTCGCCCAGACCCCTCCCCTTCACAAACCAGCCCTTCCTGGCCTCTCTCAGGATAATCACCTACCGTTTCACTCAGCCAGACCCAGCCCTGGCCTCGACTCCACCCGTCACAATTCACTTAACCCCACCCCCTCATCGGGCCTGACCGGTACCTTCCACGCCGCCAGATCCCGCCCCTAGCTTTTCCACAAGCCCCGCTCCTCAGGGGACTGCCCCTTTCCTTCCACCAGACCCCACCCCTGGCCCAGACCCGACCCCCAACGTTTCACCAAGCCCCTTCAGACAATCCCGAGCCCGCCACCTCCACCTTCTCCCCCTCCCCCCCGCCCCCGCCGTCGACACCGGCCAATCCCTTCAGCTCCACTCACTGAGCCCAGCCCCTTTCTTGAACTCCGCCCTTGTCTCGCACCGCCAAATTCCCGGCGACCTGTGTGGTCATGGGTGTCAGAGGCCCTCTTTTCCATTGGGCCAGGTCCCTTTACTGCCCGCCCAGATCCCGCCCACTGAAGGGATAGTGCCTCCAGGCCGCGCCTCTCGTACGGGACACACCTCTCACGAGCTCACAGAGACACGGTGAGAAGCAGGCCGTGCCGTGGCGCGCCTGCGTGAAGCGGCGCGCCTGCGGGCAGCGGCGCGGCGGCCGGCAG